AACGTGTTTTGGCTGAGTGCAAAGATAAGTTAAAATATTAATTCATGTAACCAAGTTCACTGATTCTGCACATTGACTGAATGCTTGCCTTTATCGTATAAATTTATTGTATGTTATACTGTTATAATGGCCATTATTGATTATTCAAAGTGATTTTCAGCAAAAGAGATGTGGTAAAGTTTTTACTTTTCAATAAAAATGAAAGGAGGTGGTTATATTTAAGCCCTGTTTTGTTGTAAAAATTGCACAAGGCTGTTTGATGTCTGTTAATCAATATCTAAATGAAATAAATTTCCTTATATTATGTTTTCATTATTAAAATAGTGAAACAGCAAGCAGGATTATGTGAATGAGGTTATAATATTAATAATAATAATTCCTTACATTTATATAGCACTTTTCTGGGCACTCAAAGCGCTTTACACAATGGGGGGGAATCTCCTCATCCACCACTTGTGTGCAGCATACACCTGGATGAAGCAACGGCAGCCATTTTGCGCCAGACCACACACCACACACCAGCTAATTGGTAGAGAGGAGACAGAGTGATGATATGCCAATCATGATATGGGGAGGGTTAGGAGGCCATGACGGACAGAGGCCAGTGGGCAGATTTGGCCAGGATGCTGGGGTTAAACCCCTACTCTTTTTCGAAGGACATCCTGGGATTTTTAACGACCACTGAAAGTCGGGACCTCAGTTTAACGTCTCATCCGAAAGACGGCACTCACTGAGCAGTATAGAGTCCCCATCACTATACTGGGGCATTAGGACCCACACAGACCACAGGTTGAGCGCCTCCTGCTGGCCTCACTAACACCACATTTGTGTGACCATGTGAGAGTTGCAGAGTGCTAGCTACCGGCAAAAAGTACACTGTTACCTTTGAAGATTTACCCATAAAGTACACGGTTACCTTTGAAGATTTACCCATACATCAGCAGGCAGTTTTTGTTATGTTTATTGAGTGAAAAGTGTATTGAATAAGCTAATTTGGCTGTAGTGTATGAGTGTGTGTGTGTATGAGTGTGTATGGGTGATTTCCGATAATAGGTTGTGGCTGGAAGGGCATCTGCTGCATAAAACTTATGCTGGAATAGTTCATTCCGCTATGGCAACCCCTGATTGATAATGGACTAAGTCGAAAGAAAATAAATGAATGAATGAAAAGTGTATTTTTATAGATCTTAAAAAAAATCTTTATGGAGTATACAGAAATTAAATTGAGATTAATATCTGTATTTATTTATTTAATATATATGGCTTTTGTGTTTTTATAAAATATGAGTTGTAAAACATATTGGACATGCACAGATGGATAGCATTTTGATTGAATGTAGTGGGCCGCTCTGGCCCAAAATGCCAGGATCGATTTTTTTTGCCCCAGTCCAGCCCAACAGCTTAACAGCTTAACTTGTCCGAACCACTCTGAGGGTGAGTCATACATTTCTGCGATCATCTTCTCGCCCTGGTTCAAATGATCATAATTTTTTAAATGAAATTTATTTTCAGAGTTAAGCCTAAAGATTCACCCTTCAGCGATTGCCACCATTGAACATATATGGCGAAAAACGGTAACGAAGCACGAAATGAAAAATAAAAAAACCCTCGGGGGGGGTAGAAGCCTGATCATTGGGAATGTGCGTGCGTGCAATCTCCACTTTCTGACGTATTTCTTTAACATTCTCACTGTGACTCAGTGAGTGAATCAAGCTCTCACTGTAAATTTTAATGTGCCAACAAAGCATCCAATCCGAGGGAGTCGGGCATTGCCGCGTCTGGGCCGCTTCCCTGAGAACATTGGTTTCTCATTTGTCGATGTGCAACTTATCATTTTCATTTTATGAAAAAAAATATGAACTATACCTCGCGCCAGCTGGACAGTCGCTTTTGGGCTACTGGGCAGGAGCCAGAATTCGACCAAATTCTATTTCGAATTCCCACTTTTCCCAAAATGCTAGAACAACACCCTGTGGAAAGCAGTTATGATTTAATTACTACCGTCCAATAATGCACTTTCTGTAAATCACTGAAAACTGGCTCAATTTAAATAACAATTCAAAAACTATTTACACTAACTCAGCCCACGGTATGTTTAAAAAAGGTCAAAACTGTCACGAGTGCTTCAATTGGGGTCAAATGCTGGACAAATTAAGGCGCGAGTATTCGAATTTTGCTGAGCGGAATCATGGGAATGATCAGACGTTGGATGTGGTAAAGTGAATCGGAGGAATGCATTAACCTGCTAATTTCTTACAAGTAAGTTCTGTTTTTAACTTTATTGCATTTTTTTATAGTTGTGTTATATGTTTTTAACGACCATGGATGTTACAAGTGGTATTATGTGTTTAGTTGGTTATTTCCACGTCAAGAATGGCGTGTCATGTTTTGTAATGTTATGCTAATAAGTTAAAGTTTGATCGATTATTTGCTACATGCTTATAAATTTTTAATTTTTGCTTTGCTCTTCCTGGTGAAAAAAAGGCAATTTTAGGTGATGCAGCTACATAGGTTTGCTGATTCTGACTCCTGAACATTGCACATACTAGCACATGCTCTTTATTTATTTATTTTTACACACACTTCAATCAATGTGCATAAATTTGGCTTGAGGTTGGAGTTTTGACATTTACATATTTAGTAATTGTGTCTAAATTTCAGCATTTGTACACATATAAAGCAGGAACAGTATGAAAGATTTCATAAAACCAAGTTTAAAGTGATCATATAAGTGTTAGGTATAACTTGCGTATCTTTTTATATTTTGAATATTTAAGGAAAAAAATAAAATGATATTTTTCTCTACCAATGGTAGTAACTGATGTTGATGTTTAATTGTTTTTCAGAAAATGAAGAATATACTATAACATAATGATATACGAAGCATAAGGAGACAAAATGAAAATATTAATATGAAGATTAACAAAAAACAATATTACAATAATAATAGTAATAATAATGAATTATTAATATTAGTAATAATATGTCAAGAATGTCAAAAAGTGGACAAATAAATGTGATAACTGTATTATACTTAAACTGATAATAATAATAATATAAATAATAATAATAATTATAATAAAAACAACGCAGCACAGTGGGTAGCACAATTGCCTCACAGCAAAAAGGTCGCTGGTTCGAGCCTGGATGGGTCAGTTGTCATTTCTGTGTGGAGTTTGCTTTGTAATGCACAAAAAATTGTAATGTGCAGCATAAATCAGTTCAATGCAATGCCCAGGCTGCCATGCCCACGTGACACTTTCCCTGTGAATGTAGTATATGTAAGTGTGTTGTCCTTTCTTTTCTGTACCTCCCTCACTAATACAAGCTGTGCATGTCACAAGAAACTGAGCTAGAGTGGAAAATGAAGAAATAATAATATTAATAATAATGTTATTGTAAATACTAAGTAATGCATTACTTAATTTAAGAGAGACCCATTGAAAAGGAAAAAACAGAACAAGATAAATAAAAAAGTACATAGAGAGAGAATTATGATGTGCAAAAATAACAATAAAAATTCATACTAAATATGGTAAAATTAATAGCTATATTGGAAGCGGTAGAGTGCTTAGAAAATGATGAGAAGAGCTATATAATATGCAGTGATTCTTTATCAGCACTTAAGAGCATTAAGTCAGGTGTAATTAAACGTCATCAGTGGTTGTTAAATGACAAGGAAAAAGACAAGGAAAAAAATATAATGTTTATGTGGGTTCCGGCCTATCAGGAAATGAAAAGGCAGATAAGTTGACAAAAAATAAATAAATAAATGAAAAACAAAACAAAAGGAAATTAATTAAAATCAATGTTTATTTATCAAAGTCAGAAAGAAAAAGCATGGAGAGAGATAATGAATAAATGGCAACAAAAATGGAATGAAGGGGCAAAGGGAAGACATGTATTCTATACAGCAGTGGTTCTTAAACTGTGGTATGTGTAGCACTAGTGGTATGCAGGCTTCCTTCTAGTGGTATGCAGAGGAATCCAATATCAATGTTATATGGTCATGCAACATATATTTCAAAATTTATCAAAAATGGTTCAGATATATGAATATTATGTCATATAGCCTATATTTATGAGGTCCAAGCAACATTTCCAGGTTTTGATGAATAGGTTACTATGAATACTTTAGATTTAAGTACAACAGTTTTCTTTTTACTTTTTGAGAACAGCGCCATTTTTTATGAACTTTTAAAAGCACATTTTAACTAAAACATTTTTTTTTTTTTTTTACTTGCAGGCACAGTTAATGTTCAGACTATTTAAAATGCTTGAAGTGACTGACAATAATACATATTCTTAATAATAGGAA